CAAGAATTGGAAGCAACCTAAGTGTCCATCAGTAGAAGAATGGATAAAGAAGATGTGGTATATATACACAATGGAATATTATTCACCCATAACAAAACAAATCCTACCATTTGTAACAACATGGATGTAGCTAGAGGGTATTATGCTCAGTGAAATAAGCCAAGCGGAGAAAGAGAAATACCAAATGATTTCACTCATCTGTCGAGTATAAGAACAAAGGAAAAACTGAAGGAACAAAACACAGAACCCAAGAATGGACTAACAGGTACCAAAGGGAAAGGGACTGGTGAGGATGGGTGGGTAGGGAGGCACAAAGGTTGGGGAGAAGAAATGGGGTATTATGATTAGCATGTATAATGTGTGGGTGGGAGAAAGGGGAGGGCTGTGCAACACAGAGAAGACAAGTAGTGAATCTACAACATTTTGCTATGCTGATGGACAGTGACTATAATGGGGTTTGGGGGGAGGACTTGATATAGGGTAAAGCCTAGTAAACATAATATTTTTCACGTAATTGTAGATTAATGAAAACAAAAAGAAAGGAGAAAGGGGGATGACTCCCTGATAGGATAAAACTAACTGCAAATCAACGATTAATTCATGTTTTACATATCCTTAATTCTGATGTTTTAAAGGGTCTCAGATGATCAGCTATGGAAGTAAATTTTTCTGATAATATTCCTTTATCTTTAAAAAAAAAAAAGCAGTTCCTGTATGGTGATATCCAATAGGTTCTTCACAATGGTATAAAGGTTATATCAAAGTGTGGGCAAAGGGTTTGTTGGTGTTTATACAGAGGACCAAAGCCTAATTTGGCTACTCAGAAAATGAATTAAGATACGATATGAAGAACTTCCAACATCAACATAATCTGGAAGAGTCATTCCAGAAGATGATCATCAAAAAAACTTCAACAAAGATCCTGGCACTGTTGCAGTTGTAGCTGCATTCATCCCACTGCTTCCTGGACTTGTGATTGGAATGAAGAGGGAGATGTCTAAGCTGGCCTGTGCATACAGTAAAACAACAAATTTGACTGGATCTATATTGTTGGAACTCAACCAAGAATTAGGAGAAGTGCAAGTTGAGGTGCTCCAAAATCATATCTGATATCTGATAGATCTGTTAAAAGAACATATGGGATGTGAACAGTTCCCAGGAATGTGTTGTTTTAATTTGTCTGACTTTTCTCGAACTATTCAAATTCAGTTAGACAATATCCATCATATCATTGATAAGTTTTCACAAATACCTAGGGTACCTAACTGGTTTTCTTGGTTTCACTGGATATGGCTGGTAATTGTAGGTCTGTTTTTGTTATGTATTCCTATTATGTTAATGTGTGTACGCAATTTAATAATTCGTTTGAAACCTACACATGCTTATGTTACTCTACAAGAAGATATGTCAAAGAAATAATCAATCTTCCCATGTTTTCTTCCGTCTGCTACTTCTATAGCTTTTCTTCTTCCTTCCTAATTACGACCCTTTAGTAGAATTCATGCGTCATATTGAAAATCACCGAGTATCATAATTCTTCCAAGTGGTAAAGATACCTCATGACAATTGCTGGGCATAGAAGCCACAGGGCATAAATCTGCAAAGAAGTAAAAAGCTAACCTTTTCAAACAATATTGCTACTCTCTCACTAACCACCTTTACATTTCCCGGTATGGCCCCAGAAGATGTCTGGTTAGCCAGAGACGAGTAACATTCCTCAAGGGAGGAACAACCTAAGACAGGCACAGCTGCAGGGGTGCCATCAGGTGAGAAATTGGGAATCAACAGAGATGAGGCTTAGAACCTCACTCCCCACCCTGTTTTGAGAGAAATCTTTTGCATCCATGGATGTTTTGTTACCCACGTCTAGCTTGGATTAATACTTAGTCTATAGGCACAGACCTGATCATCTACATTTACCCTCTTACAGCACTGAATTGTGTTTTCTACCTTTATCTTGCATCTACCTACCACTTCAGCATTTTATTAAAAAAAAATAAGGGAGAAATGAGGGATTCATATATAAATCAAGTATAAAAATCAAATGAATAATCATATCTGACTTAATTGTTTACAGTTCATGATGTGTGATCAAATGAGTTTCTGTGATATGACTTCCCTTGTACTGTTCACCATGTAAGAACTTATTCACTAGGTAAGAACTTGTTCACCATGTAAGAACTTGTTGGCTATGCTTCAGAAGATTGGAGACTATTGAGAATTAGGCTTGGCATTGATTAATAATTGTGCATTGAGTCCCATATACAGAATTTTATTGTTGTTAACAGCCATTTGATCAATAAATATGAGATGCCCTCTCAAATAAATTAATAAATACATATGAGAGGTGCCCACTCAAAAAAAAAAATTAGTCTCAAATTCCCAGAGTATGAATTTCAAATGACTGCATTGTATGCAAACACCAAGGGAGTAAATCCATGGTGGCGACTGTAGAGTCAACACAAACTTGACCCCACGCCTAAATATCCAGATTCTTCATTTGTAACACAACTTCACACAACCATTTATAAGATCAGACAATGAGAATCCTGTTCCACATTTGTCTTCCATAGTTTATCATGCATTTACTTCAGCTGTGCATGTAGCTTTCCTGGTTTCGGCTATGATTCAATGCCTTGACGACTGCTGAGGGGAGTCCTCTGCACAGGATTAAAGTCCTTCATAAGGTGAGCGGGCCTCCTCCAAGCAAATGAGGGCCTGAAGGAAAAGACTCACATCCCTGGAGGGAAGGAGCTCTGGCCGCAGACTCAGGCTGCAACAGCAACTCCTCCAGCGTACGGCCTGCCTGTGGACGTCAAGCAGTTCCGCCCTCACGATCGTGTGGGCCCCTTCCTCAGTGTCACACGGGCGGCTGGCTCCGACTTCCCGGAGAGCCCTGAGCTGCTGCACTGGGCGAGCAGGTGACAGCAATGGCCCCGACACGGACAGGCCATCTGTTCTACAAGCCCAGGGGGAAGGGGCCTCAGCACGAACCGACCTGCTGACACCTTACTTCTAGCCTCCAGATCTGCGAGAAATAAATTTCTGGTGTTTGAAGCACCACCGCCCTCAAGACAAAAAGAACAACAAAACCAACTCACAGTGATAGTGAACATGGTGGGCAGCACTGCAGGAGGAGCAGCTGACAGGCAGGGGCACCAGGAGCCTGCCAGGGCCCTGGAAGCACCCTAAAGGCTGACTGCGCTGGAGGGCACTTCAACTAATACATGTGCAAAAATTTGAGCAGGACCCTTAAGGTTTGTGCACGTTATAATATACTTCCAGTGTGAAAAAAATTAAGGAGATTTTAACAAAAACACCGTAAGTCAAGTGCACATGGATTTTTTAAAAATGAGGCAACTCTTTCAAGAAACGTGGCTTCATGAGTGGAGGGGACGTTCGTGCTGGGCTGCTGTGGATCTAAAGGCCCAGGACCCATTTTACTTTTCCCCAAGCATAAGTGACGTGAGCCTATGTGGAGAGAGAAGATGGATACACGAGTCGGAGGAAAGTGAAGAAGCAGGTTCCCAGAGAAGACAGAGGCGCCATGCGGGGCCAGTGGGGGAAACAGGCCAAGAGGTCAGGGGGAAGACGTGTTCCTCAGAGGAAAAGGGAAGCCACAGCTGCGGGGCACAGATGGGCCAGCACAGGCTCGGGAGCAAGCAGCAGAGGCACGCAGCGTTCGTTTTTAACGTGATGCTGATTCTGTGCTGAGTCGGCAGTGACTGAGGAAGCCGTGATGACTTAGACCAGGTCGGAGTGGGTGCAGCGGCTGGTGCAGGGTACCGAGCTGCACAGGGGCACGGAGATGTGGGCAGGCAGGGTGGGAGGCTCCGGCATCATCCAGGCAAACGACAGCGAGAGCCGGGCCAGGTGCTGGTGGAGCTCCTGAGGGTGGCGGGCGAGGCAGGCTCCGGAGACACAGCATCTGATGGGCAGGACCAGGGGTATGCGGACGGGGGTGGGACGGAGACGGAGACACTGAGGTGCTGCTGCCTGTGGGGTGTCCTGCCTCCTAACTGGCTGGGGTGGCAGGACGTTCTATGAACTGAGTTGGGGGAGGAGCATACATGGTCAAGGAGCTTGGTGCCCTGGACAGCGAAGTGAGCTGTGGGATGAAGGAGACGGGGGTGGCATGTGGGACAGATGGCTGGGGTGGGGATGCTGGCCAAAGATGGACGTGCGCTGGCTGAAAAGCCTGAAGGGCATGGAGAGGGGCACCTGCGACTCCCCAGACGGCTCACTCAGAGGCACACCTGTGGCTGGAGAGGCCAAGCATCGTGGTGTTTGTCAGGGCAAGAGGGGCAGGAAGATACAGGGCAAGGGGCAGCTACTGCGTGTCTTATGGACAAACAGGACGGATGGACGGTGAAGGTGGGAAAGAGTGGGGGGTCACACGACAGGAAACATGAAAATACCAAGGACAAGGAAGGCCCCTTTCCTGAGTCCAGAAAGAAACAGGTGATGTCACTGTCACTAAGGATGGACGTAATTACGTGGACACACCAAGAGCGAACGTTGTGAGCCCTTCCTACTGGCCAGGCACTGTCCTAAGCAGCCTGCTGCGTTACGGCATTACAACTGCCAATGACCCCATCACACAGAGACTGTGTCACTGACTCTGACCGTAGGCGGAATACAGCAAGCTGCGCTGAAGACCAGGCCCACGGGCTCTTTCCCTGGGCACAGACCTAAGCCACATTCCCCAGGCCTGAGGCCCCAGGGGTGGCCGAATGCCTAGATCCTGTCATGGAACACGTGGAGTCAAGTTCACATCATGTGCAACTGCACGCGTCCCCCCACCAGCCGGATGGTTCCAGAGCAACCCGAAAGCTACACGCTGACATTAGAAGGTGCCCAGGTCTCTAAACAATGGTGATCAGCGGATGTGCATCCCTGGACGTGACAGAGGAGCAGCCAGAAGCCCCAGGAGCTCAGCGTCTCTCTGCTCGCAGGCTGGCGGCTGCCACGGCCCCACCCGACCAGCTGCTGGCTTGTACCTGGGGAGGTGCTTCGGGCGAGGAGGTCCCTCCTCACTGGCCACAGCTGCTGCCCACGCTCCAGCAGGTGGGTCAGCTCAGGTTTGGGAACCGGATGCCCTATTGATGGAGAAAGAAACAACATGGGTGTTTTGATGAAAACAGCAAAACCATTCCATTCTGTCTGGGGTGTCAGAGCTGCTCCAGAGGTAAAGAAAATGCTCATTTGTGACCCAGAAACCAAGCCCCAAACCCCACTCTTGGACTGCACGTGAGGTAGCAGGTGGCACTGCCTGCCGACCCACCACTGCCCCTGAAGGTCATCGGTGGGAGCCAGAGCGCACGGGGTGTGCACGACGCTCACACGCGGCCCTGGGTCCCCGGGGCGGGGGGGCGCCTCCTCCCGGAAGTTCTGTAATTGATCCACGTGGCTGGTTTCAAACGCCCTGCGCTTCAGGAACACCTGGGGATGCCTGATTTCAGTCTCCACGGGCAGAAACAGAAGGTCTCGCATTGAAGGTGAGGCCTCGGCATTCGGGAAGTCTCCCTGAGGACAGAGAACTCCCGGTGGAGGCCGGTCAGCACCAGGGAAGTGGCAGCTCTGATCACCAGAAGCGGGGGCAGAGGCGGGCTGGGCGCTCTGCGGGGGAAGCCTTCACCGAAGTGCGGGGCAGCCCGCAGCCCCTGCAGCCCGAGGAGCAGGCAGACGCCTGGCCCAGAGGACCTTCCCGCGGCTGGTGACGAACCCGCGCTGCTCCGCCCGCCAGCCCCGCGGCCCCACTTGGGCCTCTCTGAGGTGAGGCGGAGAATTTCCTTCGAGGAAGCCAGTTCCAGTCGGTTTTCTCTTCCACGCAGCCGCATTCGTCTCAGCGGAGGCGGGAGGGTTCTGGGGACAAGTCCGGTGATGGGGGCAGCAGGGCCTACCAACCTCTCCTCTGGCCGGTTCTGCTCCACAGCCGAGGGTTTGCTCAGACAGGTGTCAGTCACAGTCCCCGCGCTGTGCCTGCCCCCTACCAGCACTGGGCTCAGGGAGCGGAGGCAGGCAGAGTGCGACAGGCATTCTTCGGGCCCTGTCACCTCAGGGCCTTTCCTGGGGCTGATTCCTGCACCTGGAAGCCCCCTCCCCGCTGGCTCACAGCCTTCGAGTTCCCAGCTCCAACGTCCTTCCCTGAGATGCCTTTTTTGAAGCACTCATGACCGGCTTTAACCTGAAGCCCCTTTAGTTTTCTTTCGACAACTCATCACAATTCATCTAAGAATGGACACCTACCTTCCCCACTAAACTCAGGCTGATGGGTGTGCACAGCATACGGCGTGAACCACCGTCACTGATGGATTGTCCTTGACCCAAGTCCCCATTTTTCTTAAAATTTTATTCTAAAAGGGGGCCCTGTTTTGCTTTGGTAAATGAGAAAAGTCACTTTCAGTTCTGACAAATGGAAGGTTACTGTTAAAACACAACAATGAATCAAAAAAACACACCATTAAAGTCCCAGCAAGCTCATGCACACTGCCCAGGGCTGGGAGCTGGAGGCCGTGCCCACAGCGACGAGAGGAACTGGTCAAAAGGAAGGAGCACGGAACCCTAAACAGTGATCCGAGACGTTCTCTTGACGAACAGCATCCCGACAGAACAGGTAAAAGTACTGGGTTTTTGGGGTACCACCTGTGCCTCGGACATTCCTGCGTGCCTTCTGACTCCTGCCCTGGCAAGGATCGTGGCCCAAGCCTCAGGAATCCTGTGGTGATGACGACGAGACACCAGGGCAGTTTTCCCTGACCCTGCTGTTCAGGGGTCACCGGTGACAAATACCATGTGGAGCCTGCCTGACTCACCGTCTCGAGAGCGGCCCATAGCCCACGACCCTGCTCCAGGACTGTGGGACACATGACACGACCAGGCAGGGCCAGCTTCCCCCCTGTGGCATCTGGAATAAGGATTCAGACTGAGGTTGCAGCGTGCTGGGCCCTGGGGTGAGGCCTTGTGTTCAGAGGGACACTGTCTCAATCCCACTGACACCCGACACACACAAAGGGAGACCAGGCAGGAGGAAAAGGGACCAGGAAACTATGGGCTCCGGGGAAGGGCAGGTGGCTCCTCCGATCCTGACAGCCAGGAACCAGGGGTCCCGCACAGGGGTGTGAGGCGATCCCTTACCCAGGGACGCCAGGAGCCCACACGTCTCCAGCATCACCTCCTGGTACAGGGTCCTCTGGGTCGGGCCCAGCTGCCCCCACTCCTCCCGGGAAAAGGTCACGGCCACATCCTCGAAGGTCACGGACACCTGGAAAGTCAAACGGAGTAAGTGGTGTTGCCTTGTGCTGTTGGATGGGATCAGAGCCTGTCACTCAGTCACTGCTGAAGGTGCAGAGACCCAGGCCCAGGCCCCGATCACAGAGGCCAAGCTCCGTGCTGGGCTCGAAGGGGAGGACGCAGCCTTTGGACATAATGCAACTGTGGCTAAGAGCAAAACCTCCCCTGGGGAAGCCACCGGAGATGGTGCAGTGTGTCCCCACGAGGATTGGGGGGAGATGGTGAGTGTTCTGTGACGTCAGAGGGACGGGGATATGGCCGTGATGGTCCCAACAACGAGAGCTGGAGCAGCAGGCGAACAGCCCTAGACCCCGCGTACCAGCCAGCTGAGGGCTCACAAGCCAGGGAATGGACTGCACATGCCCCATTCTGCAGTTAAGATGCCCAGGGACAGAATCAAGACTCCTGAGTCTGCCACTTCCCAGGTGTGTGGCCGTAGGGAGGACATCACGTCATTTCTCTAAGGCTTGATTTCTGCAGCCACCCCAGAACTGGCACTTCACCAGGAAGAGAAAACGTTCACGTGGCAGACCCTGGAGCCCCAGGCCCACGAGCATTCGGTGTACTCTGTTTCACCAATCCTCCCACAGTGCACGAGGTTAATGCCATCATCACCTGCACCTGGGCTCAGGCAGCTCTAGAAAGTTACCCACAATCCCAATTTTAAGGGGCAGAGATGGTATCTGAACAACCCAAGGAAAGATGGCCAAGAGTTGCCAGAAGATGGGAAGGTGGGGGTCAGGGGCACCTACGAGGGGACACCTATGCACAAGAAGGACATGGTGAGACTTGGGGACAGGGCACCGGACGACGGGAAGGCTCAGGAGAAAGCCTGCCGAGCGGGCCGCGGGGCTGGGTGAGCAAGCGGTGGAGGACAGCAGCGCAGGCCCAGTGGGGGGCCCCTGACGGGTGCCCCGCTCAGTCACTCAGCTGTTCACCGAGGGCCTTTCACCAGCCCAGGCTGTTCCCGGTCTCGGCACAGAGGGACAACAGGCGCTTGTGATCCGGGGCTGGAAACAGATCCTAAACCAGCAAGGGGGCCCCAGAGATGACAAAAACAAGAAAACAGAGCAAGGAGACGAAAGAGATTGTGGCCCACTGCAGATGTGGTGACAGGGGAGGCTACTGTCGGGACGGCACACTGGGCCGAGACTGCAGTAAACGGAGGAGGGGGCCATGCGGCTGCGATGTTAACCGATGTGACAAGCCCTGACGATGAACAGGGCTGGTAAGGCTGACCGGGGTGACTGCCGGGGCGTGACCCAGGGCCTCCTGAGCGTTCGTGTCCCAAAGGACACCACACTCCTGCACACCGTCATCACCGACCATCTGAATGCTCTTCCTTTTCAAATATAACTGCATGTCTTAAACAACACAGACCCACTGCTGTCACTGGGGATCTGAGAGTCAGATGCCTCGGCGGCCTTGGCTCCCAGCCTGCCCTGCGGCCTTTGCCGTCCTAGCATAGCAGCAACTCAAAAACGCTACTCCTGCCTCTAGGCCGCCAGCCTTTAAGTGTGTACAGGAAGGAGGGCAGGGAGCCCCGAGGAGCAGCCTGCCGCCGGGGTGAGCCCCGAAGCTCAGCACAGGTCCAGGGGCGTGTCCATGCCAGCCCTTCCCACACCTTGCTGGACACCCGCCGACACACATCAACCGTGCATCCTTCCCAGTTCCCCAGACTAGGACAAAGGAATTCGTATTGCTGTACTGAATTAAAATGTCAACATTCCTATTTTATACCAAAGAAAACAGCAGCCCAGAGCAGCAGGGAGACTTACAGAGAGAAAATTTTATTTGCAATATAAATAAACCAGGTCCCACTTGCTGATTCAGTAAATGAATATATATATCCGTGTCTGTGTACATAGTATGTAGAGTCACACAAATTTTCCTTCAGAAAATTAAAGCAAAAACTGTCCGCCCTTTTTACACACGCTCATTTACACAAGTCTGATACATCTTACTGGGTTTTCCTTCCTAAATGTAAAAAAGAGAGGAGATCTATGTACAGCAAGGAAGCATTTTTGTCAGTTTCTCAACTGTGGCAAGATTTTAATCCGCTGCGCTAAATAATCCCTAAAAATCACCCGAGGCGGTAAAATGCAGTGGGAGGGGATTTTCCTCCTTGGGCCCCGGCGCAGTCCTGACACCTGGACGCTGAAGAAGGATCGAAACAGGAGTCGGGTTACAGAAATCCGAGGTTTTGCTGTGGACCCTGGGGCTGGGGTGCGGGGGGGCAGACCTCTCAGCCCACAGACCTCACAGCGCCTGCACGCGCGCATCCTCGCCCCCTCCGCCCCTGCCCTCGATTTGAAATGGGCGCGTTTGCTGGTAGTAGAAAGCAGGCATGGGCGAGACGAGCGCCCGGCAGGCTTCCACGGACCAGGAGCTGGAGTGGCGGCTGAGCCACAGCCACAGCCGACGGTGCGAGGCAGGGCTTGGGCGCCCCGTCTGAGTTGCCGCGGCCTCGGCAAGGGGCGCAGCCGGACCCCAGTGATGTCGGCGAACCCTGGGCCTCCTCCCTGAGGACCGCCCCGCGCGCACGGCGTTGTGTTCGGGGGGCCCTGGGGCCACACACCTCGCCCCTCCACACAGAATCCCGCCGGCCGTCAGGAACGGGGCCCTCCCCCACGGGACCCCTGACCTGGATTCCGCACCCGGAGCCGAGGTGACCCCATCCTGGCGCTCCGAGAAACGGCCGGGAGAAGGTAAGGCGAAGGGTCGAAGGTCACCGTCCTCCCGCACGTCCGGGCGGCGGGGCCGCGACGCTGGGGGTCCGAGAGCGGGAGGCGCGGGGACCGTCCACTCACCTGCGCCGGGTCCAAGGGCGCCGCCATCAGACCTGTGGCGAGCGGGGCCGCACGGGGGCGCCCGGGGGCTCAGCGACCCCACCCAGAACCCGCGGAGGCGCAGGTGGGGCCTCCCCGCCGTTCCGCCCTGCTCCGAACGACCGGCAGCCGAGAACTCAGCGCCACTGTGGAGGAATCGCGCCCCACGCCGTAAACGCTTCCGCCTGGCGACGCCGGAAATCCCGCCTCTACCAACGGGACCGGAACGCCCCCTTTCCTGTGATGTCGCCCTCTCGGTGCACACCGGGTAATGTAGTTTCTCTCCTGCGTCTGGCCAGGCTGGGGAGCGCTCCCCCTTGTAGGAGATAAAGGTCTGGAGGCCAGGAAAGAGCTGACAAAGGTGTGGGGAGGCCCCAGGGAAGGAGAGGCAAGGGACACTCTCCAGGGGAAGCACCCAAATTTCCCGGTTGTGTTTTCTGCATCTTGTTATTTCAGATGATCCCAATGGAACAAGTGGGCACACTGTATTGTGAGTTTTAAAATTTTCTTTTAAAACCTGTGAGCGCCTCTCAGGTGACCAGGTGCACCGGTGTGGAAAGGCTGGCCCCTGACACAAGTTCACCTTCTTTCCTCGCCTGTGACCCAGTGACATCCAATGCCCAGGGCCTGTGTACCTCCCCTGATTCCCAGTAAAGGCCAGACTTGCCTAGAGGTCCTCCCTCTCCCTGGGCGCTGCGGAGTGATGGGGAGGATTATTCTCTCCAAGCCATGCTGTCTGCATTGCCACATCCACTACAGGAAGACTGTGTGATTGCGTGTGTGTGATGGAAATAAATGAAGACCAGAAATGAGTACAAGCAAGGGCTATAAGGTATTTATTCAGACCTTGCCACAGCAAGAGTCAGTCACTGTCGCTTGCATTTGTCAGACAGGGGAGTGGAAAATTTATTATGAAAACAAGGAGCGCCTCAGGAATGCGCTGGTGGAGGCCCTTACCAGGGACCGCTGGAGGCAGAAAACAAGCAGTGAGGCAATCCTGCAGGATCAGTTAAGGAAGCATATTCGGCTTTCTCCAGCTGGTCTTAAGTTGGGAGCTGGGGGTGGGGAGGGAACTTCATGGAAATCAATGCTTATTCACCAGGTCCTGCCCATTGTGCGTTGACTGCTGCAGAACTTCTGGGTCAAAGTTGTGTTTTCAGATATGGGCTGGCCACTGACAGTTTGTATATTCACTCTGTGTGTCTGTGTGTGTGACTGACACACAAGGCCCTGGGGAATCCCTATGTCACGTCTTTCTCACAAATCTCTGTGCACTATTGGTGTGTTTGTGTGGCCACAACTGCTGTGATATACAGATCGTCCTGCAGCACAGGTCCTGGGTGTTTTGCATGTGTTGCTTGGGTGTCTCATGTCAGTTTTTTCTGTTCTGGATGGAGCATACACACGTGTCCAGGCTGTGGTGAGGTGTCAGTTTCGCATGACAGTCTCACAGGTTGTGCTGCAGTGACACTACCACACACCAAAATACCCTCTCCTACTCTGCTGGAGACATGGACAACACACGGCAACTGAAATGCCTGAGATGCCAGGGTGGTTTGCAGTGTGCTAGCAAAACGCTACCACACTGGGTGGGTTTCCAGGTGTGTCCCTATCACACACTTATCCACCAGGACCAGACCTCAATCATCCATCTCATTAATTTATATCCAGTGTAGAGGAAACATGGTGGTGGGGGGAGTGCCAAGCATGTTAAACAGCTTCAAACAGAAGCAAAAAACAAATTCAGACCATAGCCAGTTCTGATTGTCAAATGACTAAGCAACTCAATAAATAAATAAATGGTCCAAAAATTAAAAAATGAAGTGACATTTATATGTCACTCTGACCTACCAAACACATGTATCAAACGTCTTATAGATCCATTTTGGATTTGATTGCCTTAAATAAACAAACATGTTTTTGGGAATGCTTAGCACTGACAATATATTTCTATGACTCTTCAAATATTTTGGTTGAAAAGTTACTATGTTTTGGAAATGCATTCTGAAGGGATTAAGCATTGAATGACAAATGTTGGGATTATAAATAAAATTATCCAGCAATATGCATTTGGATGTATGTAACAAGAGCGGCCATGAATTGACCAGTACTGATAGAAGACTGGATGGCTCATGGGGCTTCGTAACATGCTCCTTTTGTGTATATATTTGAAAACGCACATTATAAAGGGTAGAATATGTCCTATCAATTTTATGTTAGGATTAAAAAAGGCAGAGGAAACTTTTGGTTTCAGTGGTTCAAGCAGTATCAAAACACAAATTATATATTTTAAATGTGCAGAATTTATTATAAGACTATTACACTTCAATAAAACTACTTTTTAAAGTAGATGTAATAAGTACTCAAAGGTTGTCACTTCCAAATTACTTTACAGTGTTGTACTCTTCTTTCTATTGCTGAGGTTATCTGTTGCTATGGTAGCAGAAGGGTGGGAACAGAAGTGTCCCACTGCACACCTCTTCCCAAATCCATGTTCAGTCCAACTTCAAATTGGCTAGGATGGGAGTATGTACACTGCAGAAATTCACAAACACTACAACACAGATTATTTTCCTGGACGGCTGGATTTAAGAAAGTGATGGTCAGTAAGTTAACTGTAGATTATGGTAAAAAGCATGTAGCCTCTGAATGTTATACTGTGAATAGCACCAGAAAATGAGAAAATATTCTTACAGTATTCAAAAATAATGCTTCCATTTAGCAAAGATGACACATCACTGCTGAAGGATAACTGGAGTTTCAACATATGGCTTTGTTACATATGTCTTCATTAGTGAAAGGGAAAATGTCACCCAACATCTATTTTAAAATAAGCAAATGGTATTAATGATCATTTTATTAAACAAGCTAAACAAGTAGCAGATGAAAACATCAAAAAAGCTAAACTTCACAAAACATCACAGAACTGCAATTCAAACCACATGGAGATGCTATTGCACCCCTATGAAAACAGCTAAAATGAAAAAGAATAGCAAAACCACCAACCAGGCATTGGCACATGGTGGATGAACACGAGTTCTCATAAACTGCTGGTGGGAACACAGATGAGCACAGGCAGCTTAGAGCACAGTTGGGCAGTTTCTTCAATTCTCATACATCCACCAACTCTATAAAGTATTGGCAGAAGAGAAATTCATATAGAGAATTATATGCCTACATTCACTGCAGCTTTATTTCTAACAAAACCAAATGAAACAACCCAAATTCTCCTTAACAGATGAGCAGGTAAACCAATAGTGGCACAAGCACAGAGAAGAACATTACTCGACAGTAAAATAATGAACTACTCATATAAGCAACATCAATAATCTCTAATTAGTGTAAAAAATATCAGAAAAAAGTAAAAACACTGTGATTCGATTCATGTAAAATTCTAGACCCTGCAAACAAATTTATTGTTAAAGAAAGTAAACCACTGGACTCCTGTAGGACTGGAGAGGACAGAGAGAATATAAAAGGGCATGAGGTATAAATAATGGATATATTCATTATCAAGATTATGACTGTTTCAACAGGTTTATATGTGTGGCAACATTTTTCAAATTGTCTACCTTAAATATGTATGTCAATAATGTATCTGAAAAATAGTTCAAATTAAAAAATCTGAATCTCCCACTCCTTTTGGAAACTAGGTTTCACAACCCAATACTAACTCCACTCTATTTTTCCTTATTCCCTGGTAAGGGTAGCCCTGAATCAGTGCAGAGGATGGCAAGCAATGAAAGCTGTTCCAATTTGGCACATGAAAAACACTGGCTGGATCAGAAAAGCCACACCCCTGCACAACAAGCTCTCTATTCTCTGCCCATATTCCTCTGTGTTCACAGCAATGGGTTTAAAATGAACAGCCCAGAAAGAGTGGGAATTCACATTTCTGTGACAATGACTTCAACTGCACTCCTGCACTCAAGAGTTCACAGCTCTGAGGGTCCTGTGATTACGCGCAGCCAAAGCCACGGGGACATCTACAGATGTACTCAGAAGAGGCACATCCCATCTAATTTGCTGCAGGCTCCTCCACTGTTTACTAATCACACCCAGGATTCCAGTACCAATTATAGTTGAAACCTGGCTCTCATACTATGAGGGGCAATACCACTCTACGGAATTATGCCCGTCAGGACACTTGGCTCCTTTGTAGGACCTGGTGAACAGCTTCCCCTCCAGTACTGGGCACTATGTGACACTCTCTGGGAACAAGACAACAACTTCATGACATTCCCAAAGGCGCTCGAGCTGCCAAAACAAGTGACACCTCCGAAGGGTGACCTTTGGTCTCACAATATATGGAGGCATCCAGGCCACAAATGAGAACCATCCTAGGTCTTTGGCAGCAATGCAAATTAGGCCAAAACTGGAATGAGAGCTGTCATGCAGCTCCTGCTGATGTGCAAACTTGGGGCCCCCACAAAAGCTGTCCTTCCCCTCATATAAACAGAGCCCATTTATGTTTTTCACCCACCTAAAGCAGTAAATACCACCCCCAAGATTAAAGGCAGATTAAATAAGACATTTATTACTGCATGAGCCCAGAGCGATGTGAGGCACACAGTTACCAGTTGGTGACTTGGAGGCTAGAAAAATCAAATACAAGTGCTATGTGAAATCAACAATTTCCAATTCCGTGCAGAACGCCCTCTGGGCAAGCCTCTACCAGAGCCCACTTGTAGCCCAAACTGGATCGTATTCGTCCTGAATAAGGAAAGGGAAATTACTGTTAGGTCACAGACTACTCAAGATTTCCACTAGAGATTGGGTGAGAACACAGATGTCTGCCTTGCCTTAGCACATCACGGTGACTGATGCCCACTATGCAAGGTGGTCGAGGTGAGATAGCTTCTACCAGCAAGACTGGCAGTGACAGAAGCCTGGCAAGAGCCCTGTGGGGTTCATGATGTGCAATACAGCTCCGGTAAGCCTCACATATGCCTGGAACACATGCGTAACTTCATCCCTCGAGACGTTTTTTGAAGTATGAGGCTCCACTTCAGGTAGATGGCTCCCTCACAGAAGCTGCTTAGAGCTGTCATAGGTGAACAAGAAGACAGGACATTTCCTTAAATCCAAGACTCTTCTCAAGTTTGGACTTTCTGGTCGAAACATGACACACAGGAGTGAAGGATTTCCTGTATTTCATGCATTAAGGGGGCTCTCCACGGTGTGAAATTTTTGGAACTTCATGGAAGTTAAGACTGGAACGTTCGCTAAAGGATTTGCCACATTTGATGCATTCATAAGGCCTTTCTCCAGTGTGAACTACCTGACGTTGAATGAGGACAGACTTTTGCCTAAAAGACTTTCCACATTGGCCACACTCATAGGGCTTTGCTGCCGTGTGAATACTGCAGTGCTGAATAAGGCTGGTGCTCCTACTAAAGGATTCCCACATTCACCACCCTTATAAGGCCTTTCTCCGGTGTGAATTCTTTGGTGCTTAGTGAAGCTGGCTCTCCTGCTAAAGCATTTCCCACACTGGCACCATTCAAAAGGTCTGATTCTACTGTGAATTCGCTGCTGTTCAACAAGGCAATAGCTTTATTAAGACTTCCACATTCAGCACATTCATAAGGCCTTTCTCCAGTGTGACGTCTGTTATGTCGATCGAGCTTAGACTTGGCTCCAAAGGCTTTCCCACATAATCCACACTCATAAAGCCATTCACTAGTGTGAACTCTCTGGTGTCTAATGAGGGTGGCTCTTTGGCTAAAGGATTTTGCACACTGCATACACACATAAGGCCTTGCTGTGGTATGAATTCTTTGGTGTTGAATGAGGGTGAAGCTTTGTCTAAAGAATTTTCCTCATTCAGTATATTCATAAGGCTTTTCTCCAGTGTGAGTTCTCTGGTGTCGCACAAGATTGGATTTGCACCCAAAGGCTTTCCCACATTCTTCACACTCATAAGGCCTTTCTCCACTATGAATTCTGCAGTGTTCAATGAGGTTGGAGCATTGGCTAAAGGATTTCCCACATTCACCACACTTATAAGGCCTTTCTCCAGCGTGAACTCTTTGAAGTTGAACAAGTGAGTATTTGCAGTGGAAGGCTTTCCCATATTTGCTACATTCATAAGCCCTTTTTCTAGTGGAGACTCTCAGATGATAAACAAAACTGTGTTTGTGACTAGAAGCTTTCCCATATTCACATGACTTGCAATGACTTTTTCCACCATGAAAGGCCCCCGCACACTTGGTGCTTTTGTTTAGCTTATCATCACTGGGGATGACGTGGAGCTGGAGAACACTCAGTGTGGTTGGGGTCTCCTTTTCAACCTTCCTACAGGTGAGGGGATTTCCTGACGCACAGAATATGCAGCTCCTTACAAAGGAGGGCCTCTCCGCATTTCTTTTCTCTGGGCTGTAATGCTTCTGAACCTGGTGTAGATTTTGATGTGCCCCAACCACGTATGCTTTTTGCACAGGTAGATTACAGAGGTACAAAATGTCTTTCAGGATTGGAACACACTTCTCACAGGGGTGAGTGTTCCCAATGGATAGACCTACCTTTGGAATCCCGACCTGTGACAAAGCTTGTATAGACACATTCTGTTCAAAAGGTGTCTCTTCATTCTCTATTCCATGCCAAGAAACTGAAAGAATAGAAACACTGATGAATCATGCTGACTATGGTAGAAGAGTATTAATCATTCTTTTCTAAAATTTTGTGTAATACAATGTTTTGGCATCTTAACCTTGATGGCTGAGGAGACAGTGACTTGAGCAACACTGTAAACCAAATGGAACTAACAGACATAGTGTTATTTCCATGGAACAGCAGCACAATACACTACTCAAGAGTTCAGGGAGAATTCTCCAGGACAGGTCATATAGTATGCTACAAAACAAGTCTTAACAAATTTAAGAAAACTATAATCATATCAGGTGTCTTTTCTGACAAAACTTTGATGAAAGTAGAAATTAATAACATTAGAAGAATTGGGAAATTCACAAATGTGTGGACTTTAAACAACACATTCTTCAACAACCAATGGGTCAAAATGAAACCAAAAGGGAAATAAAAAATGTCTTGACACAAATGAAAATGAAAATACAATATAGCAAAACTCATGGAATCCAGCAAGAATGGTTCTAAGAGGGAAGGTTGTAGCAGATACTTACCTACATTAAGAAAAAGTGAAAGCTCTTAAATGAACACAACTACCTTCCTAACTCAAAGAACTAAAAAAGAACAAACTAAATCCAATGTCAGTATAAAAACAAAGCAAAACTGAAGGAACAAAGCAGCAGCAGACTCACAGACTCTGAGAAGGGAGTGGTGGTTACCAAAGGGAAAGGGATGGGGAGGGTGCGTAGGTGGGGAGGGAGGGAGAAGGGGATTAAGGGGCACGATAATTCACAATCACTACATAGGAAGGTCACTGAGAAGGCAGTACCCATGGAGAAGAACGTAATGCCTCCACAGCATCTCACTACACTGATAGTCAGGAACTGCAATGTGGAGGTGAGGACTTGATAATATGGGTGAATGATGAAACAGCGATGTTGTTCATGTGAAACCTTCATGAGATTGTATATCAGTGATACTTTAATTAAAAAAAAGAAAAACCCTCAAAAAACTAAGTCCAATGTTAGCAGAAGGATGGAAATAATAAAGATTAAAGTGGAAATAAAATAGACTAGAAAAACAATAGAGAAGATGAAAATTAAGAGATTTTTCGGAAAAAGATTAAATTGACAATCCTTTACGTACACTAATTTAAAAAAGACTCAAATAAATAAAAGTATAAGTGAAAGAGCAGACATATCATTTATGCCACAGAAATACAAGGATCATAAGAGACTACTATGGGCAATTATACATCAATAAGTTGCAAACCCTGAAGAAATGGACAGATTCCTAGAAACATGAGGAAGTAGAACATCTGAACACGTCAGTAACAAGTAACGACACTGCATCAGTAATAGAAAACCTCCCAAAAAAAGAAAATTCCAGGATACGATGGCTTCCCTGATGAATTCCATGAAACATATAATGTCAATCCTCCTCACATTCTTGCAAAAAGCTGGAGGGCTAAACACATCCAAACTCATTTTACAAGGTCAGCATTACCCACACACCAAGGCCAGATAAGGAAAACACAACAAAGAAAATTACAGGCCAAAATCCCTGATGAACATAGAATGCAAAATCCTCAATGAAAGACTCGTAAACCAAATTCAGCAGCAGAATAAAAGGACCACACACCATGTCCAACTGAGTTTTATCCATGGGATGAAAAGGTAGTTCAACAAATGCAAGTCAACAAATGTGGTACACAATAACAGAATGAAGGGTAAAATCATATGATTATGTAGTACATACAGACAAATCATGTGACAAAATTCAATATCTTTTCATGACTAAAAAATTGACCACAAATCAGGTATATAAGGAATATACTTGAACATGATAAGGCCCATGTATGACAAGCCCACAACCAACATCATACTCAATGGTGAAAAGCTGAAAGTTTTTCACTAAGATCAGGAACAAGTCAGGATAACTACTCTTGCCACTTGTGGTCAACACAGTACTGGAAGTCCCAGCCAGAGTAATCAGGCAAGAAAAATAAATAACAGGTATCCGAATCAGAAAGGAAGAAATAAAATTATCTCTGTTTGTGGATGACATAATCTTATATACAGAAAACCCTAAAGACTACACCAAAAACCTGTTAAAATAAATCAGTAAAGTTGCAGGATACAAAATTAACATACAAAAGTCAGTTGCTCTTCTATACAGTAACAATGGACTAAGCAAAAAAGAAATTAAGAAACAATCCCTTTTAAAACTGCATCAAAAAGAATAAACTGTTAAGGAATAAATTTAACCAAGGAGGTAAAAGATCTCTACACTGAAAAACATAAAATGTTGATGAAAGAAATTTTAAAAAAGACATTAATAAATGAAAATATATTCTCTGTTCATGGATTAGAAGAATTACTATTAAAATGTCAATGCTACCCAAAGCAATCTACAGATCCAGTGCAGTCATGTTCAAAGTTCCAATGGCATTTTTCACAGAAGCAGAAAAAGCAATCCTAAAATTTATATGGAACCATGAAACACACTGAATAACCAAGGCATTCTTGAACAAGAACAAAGCTTCAGGCATCACATCTCCCGGTTTCAAATTATATTACAAAGCTACAGTAATCAAAACAGCATGGCACTGGCATAAAAGCAGACACATAGACCAACAGAGCAGAACGGAGAGCCCACAGATAAACCCACAAATACATGGTCAACTGATCTTTGACAAGGGGTGTTTGCAAAGGCTAGGTAAATGGGGAAGTGATGGCTGAAGAGTACAAAGTTTCAGTTAGCAAGATGAATAAGTTCTTGAGATGCATTGGAGAAGAGTGTGTACAGCTGACAGTACTGTACAGTACAGTAGTCCCCCTTATCTGCAGGGAATACGCTCCAAGGCTCCTAGTGGATACAACACCCGAAACCACAGATAGTAATGAACCCTACATACACTATGTCTTTTCCCTGTAAGTGCATATTAATGATAAAGTTTAATTTATAAATTAGGCTAACCTAGGGATTAAGAATTAGTAATAAAATACAGTATAATGGATTAGAACAATATTATATGATTTTAGAATTATAATATACTGTAAAAAACTTCTGTGGATGTGCTCTCTCTCTCCCACAATATCTTACTGTACTATACTCACCCTTCTTCTTGTGATGAGATGATAAAATCCTACGTGATGAGATGAAGTGAGGGGAATGACATAAGGATTATGCGGTAGTGTTAGGCTACTGCTGACCTTCTAATAATAGGTCAGAGGAGGATCGTCTGCTTCCAAACTGCAGTTCATCACAGGTAACTGAAACCACAGAAAGCAAAACTATGAACAGTGGGGGAAACTATTGTACACTTGAAATTTGCTAAGAGGGAGTGTTAAGTGTCCTTACCACATGCAAACACACACACACATAGTAATTGTGATAATAATAATAAAGGAGTGAGAAGAAACTTTGGGAGGTGAGAGATGTGTCTATGGCCTTGATGGTTGGTGATGGTTTTATGGGTGTATATTTATCCCCAGGCCCATCAAGTTGTATCCATGAAATATGCACAGCCTTTTACATGTCAATCATTTATCACTAAAGAGGTACAAAGAGAAATAAATGAATAAATACCTTTTAACATTTACTAAACAGCACCAATAGCCAAACTTCATAAACTTAATCATTACCAAGGCTCAAATTATACCAGCAGATCCCACTGCCCGTACACTCTGCACCCCTACACTGTCAGGAAAGTGACTACATATAGATCAGAGAAGAATGGGTGTGCCTCGTTTGAACTGTACCCTTTCCTAAATTTCCCAATGTCACAGCACCCTTTAAACAAAAGTACCCACACTGGGCACAGATGGTCTAATATGACAAATAATAAATTTAAATTAACATTAAGTCTTTGACACAAATTGGCTTAATAAAATGGAACACCACAGACCCTCAATTTAAAATAGTTTACGTGACCTGATGTAAGTTAAAACAAGGCCTTCAAGCATTAAAACTTATTCTATAACATCTAATAAATAAAGGGTGATGATCCTCACCACTTCGTTGTTCTACGGCCAAATGGTGCCTGTTTTTACACCTGGAAAAATAAGAGGTGCTTTCTGGCCAGTTACCACAACCTTAATGCTGTGGTGCCATCCATTACGACCCCATATCCATTAACCGTATAATTACGATTACCGACTCAATTGGGTTGGAACACAAGGTGCCACAGACCTGGACACAGTCATTCTGCCAGGGGGAAGGCGAACCAGGTGGGATGCGTCAGGCTAACAGCAACACTTCTGGAGCCCAGGACCTTCCCAGCATGTTTGGAGTGAGAGGACTCAGGGCTTTTTAAGGTGGTGAACACAGCTCAGCGCTGCCCCCGCAGCACATACGCAGGGAGGTGAGGAAGACAGCAGAGCCCAGGGTCTCGCTATGGAAAGGGCAGAGTTGCCTTGGGAATTAAAGAATAGAAAGAGACCAGGTGCTGGAGTGAGGTGAGGGCCTTACCGAGCGAGGCCATAAGTGCCACGTTCTCCAGCATCACCTCGCGGTACAGGAGCCTCTGGGCCTCAGCAAGGAGCCCCCACTCCTCCCAGGATAAGGAAACGGCCACGTCCTCAAAGGTCACACAGCCCTGCCAAGATGGGGAAAGATCATTCCATGATCAACCTCTCTCCTAGGACCCCAAATTCATCTCCCCAGACGTTCATCCCCTGCTCACCTTCCTTTCAATGTCTGCCCCTTAGAGGACATACCAGGCCCTGAGGCCACAGACACCTGCTTCTGCCTCGGGGTATCATGGCCACCGAGTGTCCCACAACAATGGGCATGCGGACAAGGGCACACCATCTCCATCCTGAGCCTGGCTTTATGGCACACACCCCATAGTCAGGAAATTCCTCGTAAGTTCCCTGGATCATGGGCTCCCAGACACAACCTGCGCGGGCGTGTGCTTCACCCCGAGGTGCTCCCGGTCACGGTTTAGGGCCTGAAGTGCTCACTCTCTCCTCACGCTGCACCGCGTCTCCCTGCTACCGTCTCACCCCACAACCACTACCCTCCTGCCCAGACCAGAGGCACAGCCCTGGTCTCCCCGTATGTTGCCCAGCATAGGGCAACCAGACGATGCCTAGCAGATTCAAACAGGATCCAGTCCTGCCTAGATGTCCGAAGCCTCCAGCTGCCAAGGGGAAGAAACCTGCTTGGCAGGCCTCGCTGCCCAGTTCTGCCCCTGGCTGGACCTCAGCCGGCTGGAACTGCCTGCAGACCTGAGACCCCCATGGCTCTCTTGCACGTGTGCCGCACCTGCTGTCCCCCACCAGTGTCTTCCTGTCTCCATCTGATCACCATTCAAAGACCGACCCCAGAGCTCCTCCACCTCAGGCCCAGGGACTCGCCCAGATGCTGATTTGTGCCTGTGCTAATGCTGCCTCTCTGGAACACCCAACACACCTCAGAAGTCACGACAAAATCCTGGTGACTCCCACATGTGAATAAGCACCAGTCTGGGCTTCAGTGTCATCTTGTCTCAATTACCCCTGGGTTTCCACATTCCCCGCACGCTTTCCATGGAAGCCTTGGACACCTGCCAGACCATCCACTTTCCCAGAACTTCCCCACAGCCACTTCTCTCCCTCGGCTGTTTTGTGGATGCCACCCACTCCTCCCTGGTACCCAGGCAAGAGAACCAGTGCCAGTCCGTCCCTTTCCGTTGCTGGGCTGCTAATACCAATGTCATGATGACCCCTCTTAATATGACCCACAGTCACACCTGGTATAGATACTGGAATTCCCTGGAAAAGCTCAGCCCTGCCTCCTACAAATAACACATTCTGTTTTCTATGTCTGGAACAATCTTACACTTAATTGTATTGGTTGCCAGCAATAGGAATCATATAGACTCCAGCCTGGATTTCCAACCCTGCGTTTAGGTTTCTACAGACTCCAGGCTCATGGACTGCAAGAGTGACAGTCAGAGAGTCGCTGAACACAATCTCAGAGAGAAAGGGTGGGGCCAGGCGCACTGAGGGCCTGGTAAATGTCCTCCACTCACCTGTGTACAGTCCATAAGTGTCGCTGCAGTCACGGGAATGTGTGGAAAGACGGGGGTCATCAGAGGGACGGAACATGGCCGGGCTTCATAGGCTCAGGCCTCCCTGACCAGCCCTGGAGCCAGGTGACCTGGGATGGCAGCATTATTGCTGAACCTCAGTCCTCCGCTGAGTCTTACAGCTGTGAGGCCCCGGACAAGGACTCAACCTCCCTTCGTCTCAGTGTTATCACCCCCTCTCCAGTCTGTCCCAACTATGAGCAACTTTTGGAAAACCTTGAAAAGCGTAACTGAGATCATGCACCCCTTCTTTTCACAACCCTCGGTGGCTCCCGATGTCCTGAGAATGAAGGTAAAACCTTAATAGCCTCGCCTCGCTATTCCAGAAGCAGTGGCTCCGGGCCGGTCGCGCCTCTGACTTCCCAAACTGTCCTTCTGCCTGTAACACTTCCACTCCTCGTCACAACGGCTGTCAGATACGGGGGGCCCACCCCTGGCCGCCCCGCTGCTCTGGACACTGGGATCGGGGCTGGATACACGTGAGCAGGCGCCCCGCACTCGGGGCCTTAGGGTCTGGGCAGGGCACACGGGGTAAGGGCGCCGAGGGCCCGGAGGAGGAGCCTCACCCGAGCCGGGTCCCTCAGCCGGACGCCGCCGTCGGACTCTGTGGGCGCGGCGGGGTCCCAAGTGCCGGCTGCACGTGACGAGACCCGGGCACGCCCGCTACCCGCCGCCGCTGACGCTCAGACCGGCCGCTGTGCGGTGCGACGACCCCTCCCCGATCGCCTCCCAGCCGTCGTCACATGGGGCCGGGCGCCGCGTTCATCACGGACTCGTTCCGCGTCAGGGCGCAGAGCCTCCAGAACCACAGCCTCCGGCGCGGGGCGTCCCTGCCGGCCCTCGGGTCCGAACGCCCAATCGCCCTGTCGTGGGTGCCTATTGGTCGCTGCCTCGGGCCCTTTGCATTATGGGTAAGGTAGTTCCCAGCCTTCTCCGCGGGGCGCGCATATGCCAGGAAGCCGGAGCCCAGAGGCTGTCCCGCAGGGGTGCGGTAAGGGGCCGGCGCCGGGGCCCTCCAGCCCCGGGACTCAGGCCGGCAGCCCCGCCGCACAAGGGGATCCTCCGGCGGCACCGAGCCCTGGGGTGGGCGCGGGCGGTGGGACGGGAGGGCCTGGATGTCGTGGGCGCGGAGCTGGCCCTCGGGGCTCAGTGGGTCCTGGCGGGGGTACGCCTCGGGCCCCGGGGGAGAGGCGTGGCACGGCTCCTCGCCGGGGGGAGGGCAGCGCGGACTCCGGGGCCGCGGCTAAGGATTCAGCCCCGCGGCGCGGCCATGGAGGCCCGGTCGAGGTGCCGCGCCCCCGGAGCCCAGGGCCTTCCGTGCCCAGCCCGGCCTCCTTCCTCCCCGCGGCGCCCATGCCGCGCTGTCCCCCATCACCCGCTGCCGCGGATCTCAGAGGCTCTGCTGCCCCGAAACCAGTCGGCTCGCGGAGGACGGGAACGATCCAGGGTCTCTCGGGAAAAGGGGAGCAGTGGGACCCGGCGCTTTCGTCAGGTCCCGGGCTTGATGGTCCGATGGAAAAGCACCCCGAGGGCGCCCTGCTACCCCTCGGTGAGGCCTCGCTGGGGTGTCCACGGCCCGACCCGGCTCTTCAGGGAGGGGCGCCCCCCTGGCCGCTCGGGTTCTGCTACCGCCGCGCTGTGCCCCCTGCACCACCTGAGTCCGTTCCAGGCGCCCCACACGTGCGCTCTCGTCCCTGGGCGCGCCTCGCCCCGCCGTCGCCCCGCTGCTCTCAGCCGACACCCTGGTGTCCCCGTGCAGACTGCGGAGGCTGCTTCCGTGCCCGTATCCCACGACCTTTGGGGCCCACGCAGGGATTCCAGCCTCAGGTTCAGCCCCGGGC